TTACTACCACTCTTTCTTCTCTTCAAAACTATGACCCCACTTTACTCAATCCCTATAACTCACAGATAAACTTCTTGTTTTTATTCTTTAAAAATCAGTTTTGGAATTAGAAAACCACAAATCTACACCCCCAACCACAAGACAAACCTAAAACGATGGCAGATTTTGATGATTTTTGCTACCCTTACCATGTTCATGATTACCTGTTACAAGAACAAGAGTCACATCACCATCAGCAATCAGCAACTCTTCCCAGAAATTTTGTGAGATCTCTCTAATCATTATAATCTGTTCTTCCAAAAATTCTAAGAGTACTAATTATTAGCATCTTCAATATTTATAGTTTTTTTTTTTGTTAAAAAAACTAACATTCTGGTTTAACTGCCTAAGCTATCATTAGTTTAACTGTTAGTAAAATAACTGAAGCAAATAAAATAAACCTTTTTAATATATTCCCTTTTTTCTTTTTTCTGGTTCCCCAGCGTACCAAACTTCCAAATGCTCTCATTTTCCTGACCAACTTCTTGTCTGTGCTTGATAAGAATCTTTTAAATCACCAACCACTGCATGCTTTTCTTTTTCTCTTTTTATCCCTTTCCTCGTTTATTATATCAAATATCAAATGGGTATATACTTCCCCTTATTATACATCTCTTAATACGTACACTTTTTTATAATGTTGCAGAGAAGAGGTTCAACTTCTGAGAAACAGCTTGATGCTAAGGTAAAAATAAAAAACCCCAACTATTTGATCTTTGGGTACTTTATGAATTTTTTTGAGTTAAATCTGTTTTTAACAATTGTTTTCAGACACTGAGACGTTTAGCTCAAAACAGAGAAGCTGCAAGGAAAAGCCGTCTAAGGAAAAAGGTAACATAAAACCATTGCATGCAAAAACACTTTGCATGTAGTTTCTAGCTTACGTGTCTGTAACTGAAGCCCAAGCTTCTATTTTGTTTTTCTTTTTAATGTCTATACAGGCATATGTGCAGCAACTAGAAACAAGTAGAATAAAGCTAACTCAACTTGAGCAAGATCTTCAGAGAGCACGATCTCAGGTTCCTTTTGTTTCTTCCTTTCTTTCCCTTTAGAGAAAATAAAGTTTATTGGCAAGTAAAATATTTTTCTTTTAGCTTTTTATTGGTTGGGGCTTTCTTTTCGCTTCTGTTTTTTTAAAATTAATGTGCTTTTGACTTTCGGATTTCGTGTAATAGGGACTATTCTTGGGAGGTTGTTCTGCTACAGTTGGAAATATCAGCTCTGGTAAGTTGTAAGAAAAGGAATTAATGTTGGACTTACTATTAGATTTTAAAGGCCATTGAAAACTTGGAAAGAAAAACCCTTTTGTTAATATTCCTTGTTTAAAATGAAAAAGTTGCCTAGTTAAACACCTGCCTAGGTTAATTTTTTCCAATTTGATGATTGCTACTTGAACATTGACCCATAGTTTTTTTCCATTTCCTGAAGCTTTTAGTCAATTTTGGAGAATTTTTAAAGAATTTTGACCAAGCTCAATATGCAAATTCTTCCCCACTTATTATAAAGGTTGTTTAGCCTTTTCCTAACATTAAAGTTAACCCCTATAGTAATTATATGAATTATTGATCCATGGTATATGACTTTTTCCACTTTCAGCAAATCAAGACACGCCTCTTTATTTGTTTCCTGTTCTTAGAAAAACCCATTGAACTTTATATTAAGATTACTAGTGTATCAATTGGTCCACTGGATTAAAAATATTCATACTGCTATGTAGTTACTGGGATCATGCTTTAGTTCGATATTATCACTATTGTTGTTGTCTATTCGTCCAGGGGCTGCAATATTTGACATGGAATATTCAAGATGGTTAGAAGATGATCAGAGGCACATGTCAGAGCTAAGAACGGGATTGCATGCACACCTTTCCGACAGTGACCTTCGAGTGATTGTAGACGGCTACATTTCTCATTATGATGATATTTTCCGGTTGAAGGGAGTGGCTGCAAAAACTGATGTTTTCCATCTTATAACTGGGATGTGGACTACGCCGGCGGAGCGCTGCTTCCTTTGGATGGCCGGTTTTAGACCTTCCGAGCTCATCAAGGTTTGGAATTTCTAAGTGACAATTTCCTTTCTGTGTCATAGAGCAAGTAGTACATTAAGACAACCGCTAGCGTGCTGAATATGTTGAGTAGGAGGGGGTGAAAGAAAGGAAAACATGTGGTCCTTTTTAGCAATTTCTGAAAAGACCAAGCTGATATTGCCTAGGAGGGTAGTTTACTGAACCGAATATTCCCTTCTTAAGAACACCTTTTCCTTTAAAAGGGGGTATGACAACCTGGAAATGCCCTTAAACTCAGTAGGTGTCCTTTTCTTATGGGTTTTACTTGGCAACTTTACAATATTTTTCACATAGACTATAATAGGCAGTTACTATTAGCTCCTGAACTTGAGGAAAAATTTCATCTTCAAGAATTAAAAAGGGTCTAAAATGACTATTTCCAATGGCAGTTTCATCTTTAAACTACTTCTGATTCTTTCTTCCTTTTTTTTTTTTTGGGCGGGGGTTTTATCAATGGTCAGATGTTAATATCACAATTAGACCCGTTAACAGAACAGCAAGTGATGGGGATTTACAGCCTCCAGCATTCTTCACAACAGGCAGAAGAGGCACTTACCCAAGGCCTGGAACAGCTCCAGCAGTCTCTAATTGACACTGTTGCTGGCGGGCCAGGCATTGATGCAATGCAACAAATGGCTGTTGCCTTGGGCAAGCTTGCCAATCTTGAAGGCTTTGTTCGCCAGGTAATTTACCTTCAGTAGTTGACACCTGCATGTCTACCTCAAATGTTATCAAAGGGTTATTACAATACTTCCACCTATCAAAAAACATATGAGTTCAATTCTCAACTCCAATTTATTCCTTTTTTCTAAATTGGGTTGCTCGGATTATAAGCATTCAAAAGCTTAGAATTACACATTGACCAATGCTTTTTGTCAAAATTGTTGAAGAAAGAAATTTTACATAGAATGCAATGCACCACATCATTTGATCATGACAAATGGAGCTAACTCAACTGAAAAATAATATTTGCGGATACCATATTTAGGTAGAGACCATATTTCATGCACCATATATATATATATATATAGGTGAAAAATAAGAATTATGTTTCTGTTCAGACACTGATTAACAGGTAGTTCAAATGTTCCTTTCTAGTCCATTTCATTTTATTCTTTATATATATGTCTTTCTTTCTTGTTTTGCGCCGCAATTTTATGCTATACCTCCAAGGTAAGGAGTCCCATTAACTGCTTACACTTTGTATTCATCTTGATTTAACAATTTAAATTTGACTTTTCCTAGATATTAAAAAAATTTAAAGTAAAAAATCATATGTAAAATAATTCTAGTCATTAAAATATGCTACTGGCGTGCTGCATATCAATCCTGAAATCTGATAATCTTTGTTTTATTCGTTGGAATACATATATCTGGCCTTAAGGGTCTTGATTATCATGGATTTCGTCTTTGACCATTAATGTTATCGGGATATCATTATCACATTTTAGTCATCAACTTTGAAATATGATTTTATGTATTTTTATACAGCCTAATCACGCGGTGATGCCTTGTTTCTATTTGGTTTATCATTAATCATTTTCTGGGAAATATATATATATTTATATATTGCTTTACCTGGAAGAAGTCCATTTGCAATGTTGAATGCTATGGCTTTGATGGGGTATTTTTATCTAAAACCATTTCTATCAAAAGGTGGTTTGATAGTGATATGTGTTGAAATATAAAAACCAACCTTAGCTTGAACAATGAATGGAAAGTTGTGATTGATTATTTTAATGAGTAATTGAAAAGTTGAAATGGACCCAATCCTAAGACAAAGACAAGTTACATGAGTTTCAACATTCAAACCCTTTGAAATATGTATACACATATATATATATAGTGTGGTCAGCCATTTATATCCATCCATGTGCCAATGCAAATTAGGAACTCACTTCAGTTTCTAATATGGTGGTTGTGTTTGTCTTGGGTGGTTAACCTTATTCCCAACCCCTTTTTCCATTTCATTTGATTTGACAAATTAATTGAACTTTGTGTTTGCAATGTAGGCTGATAATCTAAGACAGCAAACACTTCACCAGTTGCCTCGGATATTGACTGTTAGACAGGCAGCAAGGTGTTTTTTGGTGATCGGCGAGTACTATGGGCGATTACGAGCACTTAGTTCTCTTTGGGCGTCCCGTCCCCGAGAGTAAGATTTCTACCATTTGATATATATGTACACGCACACACATAGAAGTTAAAACCCTAATGGAAAAATTTAGAAAAAAAAAGTCCATAAACTATGTTTTTCTAATTAGTTTTTGTGTTTTCTTTTTGAACAAATTAGAACATTCCTTTTGGGGCTTTTCCTTGTCAAATTCGTGAGTTGGAATCTAGACAAAGATCATGTATATGGGTGGCTATTTATCTTTTAGGAGTAGTCATCAGCTCAGCTACAAATTTACTCAAAAAACATGCCAACCTTAATCATGATTAATTTCTCTTTTTGGAGGCATATATTATTTTCCATCTCACCTCAAAATCATTCATCTTTGTTTCTTATATATTATCTACACATGTTAGTACATTTCATATACTGGTAAATTAAGTCTGCATGGTAATACATTTCCTCTTTTGTTATTTGTTCTATGATTATTAGGTCCTTGATGAGTGATGATCACTCATGCCAAACGACAACAGACTTGCATATGGTGCAACCATCACAGAATCATTTCTCAAACTTCTGATAAAAAAGAAAGAATCCCACTAGCCAGCCTGATCAGCAATCACAAATCCTGTATTTTCACAGCCATGCAAATTGGATTTCCCATCATCGAGCTACTTTAGAGGAGATAGGACCTTTCTTTTTCTTTTCTTTTTCTTTTATCTCTTTGATTATTAAGTTATCCTTGTAAATGAAAAATCAATTTTAATGTGCAATGGAGGAGGGAGCTTCTCTCTTTTCTTGAAAGAAATTAAATTAAGAGATCATCATAAACAATGAAAGTTGAAAGTATGAGGTATACATATATAATTATATATATATAATGAGTCAGTTGTCTTCATTGACTCTAGTGGCTCTTGAATGGTGTAGAAGGCTTTTACAAATAAATAAATAAAAACAAAAGGGGTTGAGAGAGAAACAGACTGAAACCATTGTCCTCTTGTAATAAGTTTAATATTATTTATAAAAAAAATAAAAAGAAAATGGTGGGAACGAGAGGGAAATGTGGGTTGTTTGTTTCTATTCATTAAAATAAAGTGGTTGTGAAGGAGGAAGGGTGAGTATTTTCCATATTTCTGAAGGGTAGAAACGACAAGAGAGGAGAGAAGAACATAGATGGAAGACATTGTCGTTTCCTTAAATAAAATTTGTTGAGGAAAAGAGACAAAAGTCGGTTTCTTTCCATTGTATATATAGCTCTATAGAATACCCTAATACATATATTTATGCATTTATTTCAAGTGGTTGTGAGAGGGTTTTCTAATGGAGAAAAATACAGTGGACATTAATTAAAATGGAGAGAGAGAGAGAGAGAGAGAGAGAGA